TGTTCATTTATACAACTAATTTCCAACAAAGGGTGAAAATCCCATAAAAACATTCTCCTGCTGCCACGCTAGAACTGTGAACCTGCTGCTGTGAGCGTTTGGATATACAGTGTGTGTGTGTATGCGTGTTGCTGTAACTGCTGAGTTTCCCCCTCGAGGATATGTGCATGAAAATACGATGCAATGACTGTACATGGCATTGTGGATGTTCATAGAGTGTGAGCATGTTGAGTGTTTGACATAACCCCCCAGATAGCAGAGGAGAAGGATTAAGCAAAGTGGAAGGGAGGCGTAGGTGGAGGGGGGTGGATGCTGCTCGGACTGATGGATGGATGAACGAGAGACTTGCCCTGATCCCTTCATTTCTCCGGCTCTTTCTTTCTCCCTCTTCTTCTTCTTTGGCAGTACGTGCCCGCCCTTCCCATTGTCGCCCATTTGAGTGTACGGAGGCGTGAGGGAGCTCCAGCCACTGTGTGCTTGTGTGGCAACAATGGCCTCGCCTAAGTGCTGTCCTATAAAATGCCTCAGTGCGCTCTAAAAGCAAGCCCAAGGTTCCGTCCGTTCCTTAAGAGTTGACGGAGTGCCGTGGGTGTACATGTTTGAGCGTGTGTCTGTACGTGTGTGGCTGGTTGACATCTGTGGCTGCGCTGGCAATTTCACTGTGAAGTCTGGAGCCTTGGAGGGGTTTGGATGTATCAGGTGCCATAAGCTGTAAAAACACTGTTTTGACAGAGCTTGTGGCGGATGATGTGGCTGGCGGTGTCAGAACGTGGAGAGTGGACGGGCAGTACTGCTTTTTGGTCTCCCCAACCATGCAGCGGTTTCCTGGACAGCCAGAAAATTCAGCATAACTTAAATGCTTGTAATGCCATTTATAGCATTAGCTGCACTGGATCTTAAGGCCTCGTGTGGTGATAAAATGCACAATTGTTCAATCAAATACCTGGAACTGGAAAGATAATGACAATTGCAAGTCTGTCAAGACATAAACACATAAACAGACAGGCCAGACAAGGACAGCACTGGTTACAGAAGCAGTGAAGTGGCCTGTTGTGTCTCTGGAGGAGCTGCAGAGATCCATGTCAATGTGAAATTTGCAGTCAGAAACCAAACTCTGTTTCTGACACAGCAAACGTGTGGAAGAAGGACTGCAGCAGCAATCGCAGTAAAAGATGTTTGCCACATTTTTCTGATTTTTTAAATTTTTATTTATCTTTTTGCTTAACGAAAAGCAAATAGTTATCCATTACTTCACTGTGGTCCATCAGATGAAATCCAAATCTTGATTGTGATGTGACAAAAAAAATATTAAAGCTCAATCCTTATGAATGCCTTTGGAGAGGTGCAGCACAAACAGAAAGCTGCTGTTTAAATCATAACCCGCGCTGTGTGTAGATTAATGGAAATAAAAAAGTCCTCAACTAAAACACACTTCACACTTCCCTCCTTCCAGCTGAGGCTACAGCAAAAGGAGGGGAGAGCTGAGCGAGCCCCAGAGGCCATGGAGCCCCAGTGACGGGTAGCTGTGGCTGGGTAGCAGAGGGTCAACAGACGGGTCCAGAGACGGAGCTCAGCTGGCACTTAGCGCGTGTGAGCCACTTACAGTTGATACGGCCGTGTAGTGAGAGGAGAGGAGGAATGAGGCTGAGAGTCTGGTGAAAGTCCAGGGCAGTAGAGGCACCACTCCAGGGGCCGAGAGGAACATCTGTGCCCCATTTAGCATTTAGCGATGGTTCTCCATCCCTTTAAAACCTCCTTGACTTCCTTTGTTCTATGATCGATCTATCTATCTATCTATCTATCTATCTATCTATCTATCTATCTATCTATCTATCTATCTATCTATCTATCTATCTATCTATCTATCTATCTATCTATCTATCTATCTATCTATCTATCTATTTATTTATTTATTTTGGGTGGTGCTCCTGGGCTAACAGATGATTACGGGGCCTTGCTCTGTGCCACAGGGGCCAAAAGAGGCTAAATGGTGAGTCCAAGAAAACTGACCAGGTATGTGTTCTTCTGCAGTTGTCTCCCTTGGCTTAAACTGCTAACCCTTCTCTCGGCCCTGCACCCCCACTGGTGCCCTGTACTTCTTCCTCATTATGCCACATAATCACATGCACACAGTCCAACGCGAGCCACCCAGTGACCCCGACTCAGGAAAATCACAGGCAGCCGGTGTCAAGGCATCCTCATCATCTCTCTGTTGCTCCTGAAGAATTTACTAAAGACAGTAAGTAATGTGGTGTGTGTGTGTGTGTGTGTGTGTGTGTGTGTGTGTATCTCTGGGGTAGCAGGTGGCCGGTGGAGCGAGACTAGAAGATGAATGGAGGGAGCAGAAGAGCAGTGAAGCCTGGTTGGGCCAGGCCATGAGGGACAGGATGCCGAGTCATTTATTAGAGGCCAAACACACACCTTACCTTCCATAAATGCAAGCAAACGCGATTTTTGTTTGCCGCCAACAAGCATACACATCTGCAGTTTCTGTCACAAAAACATATGCAAATACACACACACACACACACATTTTCATGATCCCAAAGGCTTTAGCAGCACAAACACACACACACTGACCTAGTATCTACCACTCGCCATTCATCTAGCCTAAGTAGAGCAACACTAGCCACCGACTAAATCTTTCAAACTTAGTGCGGGTGACTTTCTGTGTGTGTGTGTGTGTGGGTGTGTGATGTGTAGCTCAAGGCCTGCCTTCGATAGGCTGAGCCCCTCTTTCTGTTTCAAGATGTTTATCGTTTTCTGACCCATTTTGTGTCTTTGTCCCCTCTTTCACATCCCTCCTGGTGTTAATGTTCAGACACTATGAATGTGTGCGTGTCATCGATCCAGCTGGAAGCAGGGTGTGTTGTGCGTGAATGTGCAGTAATATTCCAGGCCTTTCATAATGATTAAAGCCTTCATTAAATTTTCATCCCAACCTGCTGTTTGCTGCTAATGGCCTTTGTGAGCCACACAGCCAAACAATAGCTAGCCGGGCAGAGAAAAGGGATTTCTATCAGGCGTTCAATACGGCCCCCTCGTCGCTTTGCTCCCCCGTCCAAGCCGTCCATTTCCCCTTTGCCTCTCGTCTTCTTTTCTCCGTTTTTCCCTTTTCTCTCCAGCTTGGCCTGGGCTTGTTGTTGTTGTTGTTTTATTTTCCGATGTGTGTGTTGGGTCCGGAGGATCTTTTATTAGTGCGTTTCATTTAATCGAACGGCAGATAATGCCCTGGCTTGGTTTTGATGCCACACCGCCGTGGCACTGTGCTAATGGGGTCTGTGAAGACACTGCTTTTTCTCTCTGTTGCTTTCCTCTCCTTCTCACGCTCTCTTTTATTTTTTTCCCCTCCTCACTCTGCCCTGGCTGAGTCATAAAGATCCATTATTGTTGTTTTTTCCCTGTGCAGCCAGTTCATGAGGTCCAGCGAAGCAGCGAACAACCCAAAACACACCTCAATTACAGTTCAGCTCGAAAAAACAGTCCTTTTTTTTTAACCTTCTTTTTTTTCTTTTCTTTTTTTTTTTTTGGGTAAAATGTGCCACAACAGGCTCCTTTATCGGCCGGAATAAAAACAAGCAGAGCTCAACAGCCGTCGCGGACGCTTTGAAACCCTTAAAGTTTTAAAGTGACATTGAGAAAATGTTTTGTGAAGCGCAGCAAGCGGTCAAACACATACCATCACGATGGTATCTGCATGCAGATCTCTTCAATGAAGTTCGGAGGAATTGTTTATGTGCCGACCAAGATGTGATTTAGTGGGAAAAATTTGTTTTAATGACCTCAGGAAAAGTCAATCAGATAAGCCAAGAAGAGGCTTGTCAAGTGGAGGTGGAGGAGAGGCTTAATGCACGGAAAACCATCATGGACGGTTATGCATCACTTTTTCAGTTTTTTTTCTGTCGGTCCTTAACATATTGCAGGGAACTTAACCAAAGGTTGACTTCTACCAGGTCCAGGATGTTCTATTCCTGAGTTAAATGTTGCTGAAAAGTCGACTTTGCCTTGGATGTTTACGGTGTGCAAGAAAGAAAGGATCCAAGTTTCTATGTCTTTGTTTAGGCTGCATTGGACACTGAAACTGAGGCAGAAATGTGACATTTTCAACATATTTTTCTCAGGCAAACAACAGATGAGGTCTGAAGAGCCAGAAAGAGATGTTCATGAACAGTGTTTGGGTTTTGCTTTGCTTTATTAAAGTGAGTCGAAGAGAAAAACAAAAATCAATTCAAGCCATTGTTAAGAGGATTGATTGAAAACTGATATTGACTGAGAATCCCCCTCGCCCCTTTCAGTAAAGTGGCATGGAATTAAAATGATCTTCCTAAAAGAGACAGACACCCATTGCTGAGATTTATATCACATTCTGATTGTAGCATGCATTCCAGGGAATTTGACACCATTTATCCACTCAATATAAATGAGCATTAGCCATGGGCTAAATTTATCTCTTTGCATGACTCCAACTAGTAGCCTGAGGCTCTGCTTGGGAATAAAAATGCAGAAGCTAGTGGTGCAAAGCTCTGTAGGGCCCTGCCAGATCTCTGGTTCTGCCTTCTGAACAGTAAGAAATCTTTATCTGAGTCCTTAAAATGCATCATCCAAAAGGCAGCGAGGTGTTTTTTTTTTTTTTTATTTGTCACTGAGACAAGTCCATCTACGGATTTTTAAAGCGGCAAACATTTGGAGAGTTGTTAACACTTTTTCAAGCGGCCAACATTCACACTTGAACACATGCATCCGAGTGCACATCTTACTTGTCAGGTTGTGATAAATATGCAAAGCGTCGCGGACAATAGGCCCAAGCAGCTGAAGCTGTCGGTTTGCGATCTGGGTAAACAAAGGCTCTCCTCTTGTCTGAACATGGGTGGGTTCAGCGCAGAGCAGAAGAGGAAGCGGCATGGAGAAGGTACGGCAAAAGGAAGGAAGGAAGAAAGAGAGAGAGAAAGAAAGAAAAGACAAGCTGGAGAAACCGAAACATCTGGGCTTCCGTCACTGACCTTCTGGCTCGTTTTTGATCAGTTCCTCCATCTTGCGTTGCTTCAGCGTGTCCACGACGTCCGCCAGGCTGCCCTTGCGTCTCTCGGGGGTCCCCAGGGTGCTGGTAGCCGAGCCGCCGTCGCTGCAGGGTCTCCCCCCGCCTCCGCCCTCCTCTTTGCCCGGTGAGGTAGCGTTGTGCTGTGGGTAAGGACTCAGAGAGCTCCCCTTGATCCCATCGTGCTCCTGCAGGGCAGAGAGGATCAAGAAAGACAGACGACGTTTTATTAGTTGAAAAATCACCCAAACTTCCAAGACATAAAGCAATTGTAGATGGAGTAAAGAGATTGAGGAGGAGCTGGCACAGACCAACTCATTATCTCCGTCCTTCTTTCCAACTCTTTATTCTCCCCTCCACCCCCATCTCCTGTTCTTACAACCCAATGCAGCAACTTTCATCCCCAGCCAGTTATCTCAAGTTAGGGCGGCACTTCTTCCATCTCTCTCGCATCCTCTGGAATCTGCATTTGACTGACTTGGAGGTAGTTGACAGAGCGAACACATGAAACGACAGCGAGACACTCAGTGCGCTCTAAAGTGTCAACGCTAACTCTTAATCACAAAGCCTTGGCGTTTGAGGGACGTCCAGCGCCGCCGCTCCAAATCGCGCGCCCAACTTTCAGAGCTGCTGTAGTTTTTTTTTTTTTTTTTTGTCCCGAAGACTCATCATAGCGAGTGCTGAGGGTGCATCTCGAACAAACAGAGAAAACGGCAAACAACGCGTTCCTTTTGAAAGAACAAAACGCTGGAGAGGTGTCAAGTCATTTCCATGAAAAACAACAACTTTTATGTTCACAGTGCAGGCAAAAGTAAACGCTCTGTGCCTTTATCCAACTTTTCACCAGGACTAATTATCCTTCGCTGTTTCTTTCACGTTGAAAGTGCGATAACCTCTTGAAATTCACAAAGGCTTGTTTTTGAATGAGCATCTGTGCAGCTTGTAGCTAAATACTTGAATGTATTCCTTTCCTATAAAATTTTGTGTTTCAAAGTTAATCGAGTACCTCGTGGCTTTTCATATTTTTCAAACTGTTCCAAACATTACCAGGATTTACTGGGTTTTATGCAGTAGACCGACACAAAATTATGCTAAATTGTAAATAGATTTTGAAGTGGAAAGTGGGAAGGGAAGATATTTTTCCAAATAAATTTTCGCTATAATACACAAAAATAAACCAGCTGCCTTCAGAAGTCACATAATTATTAAACTTTGTCCATTTATGTGTGGTTTATCCAGCTCTTCTATGAAGGCTTTCGCGGTTTGTTAGTGAACAAACATCTTGAAGTCTGAGGTACACAGCAGAAGTTAACATCAGAGTTAAACTATAAAACTACACCATAAGCTCTGAGCATCTCACATATCAATAGTCTGGACAACAAATAAAATCAGAGTTTTTCATACCAAATTTGATGTCATTGACCGATCCCCAGTGTGAGTTAACCTGAACTCTAAATCCAAATAAATGGAAGCTGTGAAACATTGTGGGCCTTCGGTGTCCTGACATGGAAAACAAGCAAGTAATAAAAACCTTTTGTGTGATAAAGATAAACACTGGATTTCCCTGAACATACCACTCCCCCTTGTGAAACAAGGTGGTGGCAATAACGTTTTCTACTCATCAATTGTTGTCTTTTATTTTGGATAATTCAGATGCCAGTGTTGAGAGTTCTTTATAAAATTAAGTTTATTGATCTCCTAGAGGGCAAATTTTCATTGTTATGCCATTGTCAATATATCACTTGAAAATGGCCTCAAAACAACAATATTAGAGTTTCTTGCAATAATTGCTGCACCAAATGCTCGCTCTGCAAAATTTAGTATAGTAGTTTTCTTTTATCGTATCGCATTTAATCGTTGCGAGCATCACATTGGAGGTTTGTGGCTGCTTCTTGCCGAGATGCGCAGCCACGCAGAGCTGAGGCGGTGTGAACCGTTTTTGCCAAACGGCGGCAGGAGGAGGCTGCGGTAAGTAACTTTTAGCAGGTTAATCTTTGGCCCGGTAAAACCTGTGTTTGTTTCTACAGCCGGCATTATGGACTTACGGCCGGCTCAGGCCAATTAACGGCGACACCGTGAGGGAGGTCGCCGGCGAAAGGCACGCAACCGACGGGCCGGTGTGGCGATTTTCTCGCGGAAAACGTACTCGCGCTGGCGCTCTTCCTCTTGAACTCTGACACGCGAAGGTGTGCTGTGGCATTCCAACAACAAATGAGTCAGTCTGTCAGCTCAGCTCTTTGTGAGCACGAGGGTCAATGGTCCACAGGGTTAATCTTTGGCTAATCTATCTACAGTATAGGGCATGCCACCTGAGACGGCGGCACACATGCGCTGCTCAGGACTTCTGTCTGTTTGTATGCACAGGAATTCCAGCCATATTAAATATCACCTGGTGTATTAATTAAACATTAACTCCTCGATTGGATCACACATGAGGCCATCCAGGCCGCAAGCGTCCGATTTTATTCTCTTCTGTTTCTTAATAGAGAAATACTTATGTAAGAGATCCTATTAAAAAAAGAACAAAAACAACAAAACAGGAAGAAAATAAGTATTTTTTTTTCTTTTCTCAGTGACTTTCAATATTGACAATGCTTTCATTGTTCGTGGCCCAGCTCCATGCGAGAGGTCCAGAAGAGCATTATCACTTGGCATTTTCCACACCTCGCTGGCTCTCTCACTTCGGCTTGTCGTGTTTCCACACTCTGAATAAGTCAGCGCGCTCAATAATTCACCCATCCGCTCCTGGACGTTCTTGCACATAGCAGCGCCGCAGACGGACCAGCTGCGACCGCGGCTATAAGGATTCAAAAGTTGTGCGAGATCGAAATTTAAGTCTGTCTTTTATCGCACCGCCAATATTCATTTTCTTGTGTTTATTATACTGTTATTTGAAAAATTGAAGGAAAATTGTCCAAAGATAAAATTGTCATTCAAGCCATTTATAATTATGTAAAAAAAAAAAAAAATCCAACAGATTATTTTACTTTTTTTTCTTATACCTTGATCAGCGATCCTACCTCCTAGAAATAAGTAACTAAATGAATAAATAAAACTCCTTGTTTCAGAACTGATGAATACAGTGACGTCAGGTCTCCATAGTAACCACTGGATGCCATCAGGTTGTTTTGGAAATGACGCCAACAAACTTACACTCCTTGTTCTACCATCACAAAAGCAAACATGAGGATTTTGATCAGCTGTATGCCACGCGAGAAAAGACTCAGATTGAGCAAAGAAACCCCATCAGGGGAGGTTAGTATTAAACAAAGGAAAAGGTGAAGAAGTCTCTCATCCCATTGGTTGATCAGGTGGGAGGATTTTTAAAGCTGCAGAAGTTTTTCTCTTCTGATGACGACCACAATAGATTTCACAATACATTCCACAGTTGTGCCAGAGGAGCATCCACTACTCATCTGGGAGGTCAACATCTAAAGCATGGCAGGCCTCACTTCCTGCACTTAAGGTCAATGTTTATGATTCAACAACTACTAAGAGAGGTTTGCTCAGACAACAACGATCCAAAGCACAGGAGAAGAAGTTCCTCTAAATGCTTCAAACTGGAGCTGCATGAAGGATTTGGAGTGGCCTAGTTAAAGTCAGGACTGATTGAAGAAGTGTGGCAGTTGGTGTTAAGTTTAAGGGGACGAGCTCTGGGTTGGGTTTCAACTTTTAACAAATGAAATAATCATTTTACAACTTTCTTTGTTCAATTGTTGGAAATATTAAAGTGTCGAAACAGAAGGAATTTGTCACAAATTAGAATTGCACTGCACAGTTTTTCACGGTTCCTACTCAGTTTTTACTAGAGCTCCATATAAGTTTGTCCGCATCCAAATATGAGGAAAAAGATGAGGCTTAAGTGAACCTCTGCTTCGGCCATCAACACTGCAGCAGAGTCTTGTGATCTGAAAGCCCTCAAAGACCTTCCTCTTTCCCCTCCGACCACCTGACCGAGCGGCTGCTCCCGTCTATCTGCGCTGCTTCCATTTCTCTCCTATACTCCCGATTAGAACATATCAGGCTTAAAAAAGCTGATTTCTTCGGGATTATGAGTTGCATCAGAAGCGGCGGCACGACATGCAAATGCAACAAAACGGAAGGAAGGCAGAGAAGGAAGTCGAGGAAAGCGCAACATCCAAAAACAAGAACGACAGAGAGAGAGAGAGAGAAGCGGTGTTATTAGAGGAAATGGAAGAGGTGCAAGTTGAAAGAGAGAGATACAGGGAGACAGAGAGCAGGCGTCTTGAAGGCAACGGTCACACCTGTCACATCCCATTTGTCTAATCCAGTGCCTACTTATAAGAGCCGCACTCTTTCTTTCAAGAAAGATGTAGCGCAAACAAAACAAACAGAACAAGAATATGGAGGGGAGACGGGGGAGCAGTGGAGCCGGGCAGGTTGCTGTCGAGAAGCTGCCAGGGAGATGTCATCTGGCAGCGTCCAACAATAAAGGTCACTTCCCGATCAAACGTATTAGCAGGGGAGTCGCTGCATCGGGGGCTCTGGCTCCGACAGGCAGCCTGATCCTGCAGGCATCTTAACATGCGTACACTTCTTTCCCAATCAACCTCCGAGCGCGTAATCCACGCGCCGCGCGCAGACCAAACAGAGGCATCGTATTTAAAAACACTTTTTTTTTTTTAAAAGAGAGATTTTCTGATGTAAATGGGTGTCACTCAGCTCTCCTCCTGCTGTAACGCAGGTTGAAAAACTTTTCTCATCAACATGCATTTATTCATGAGTAGAAAGGGAAATTTGGAGCACTGTAAATGTTCATGCCCTCTGCTCAGTGCATGCGTACGAGCAGCTTCCCCCCCCCCTTTTTTTTACCCATTTCTTTTGCTATATGTGTGACACTGGCAGTGCTCATAGCCTGTAGGTGTGTGTGTGCGTGTGTGTGTGCATGTATGTATTTATATGCACTGGATGAGGCAGGCTGGTAGTGTGGGCGGTTCTGCCTTTAGTTTGCAGATGTCAATTCTCTTCCAAATGACTGGAACAAAGTAAAAATTGCGCCTCACTCTCTTTATCCTTTTACTGCCTCTGCAATGGAACCGAATTAAACAACTTTTGTCTTCTTAAGCTCATCTGTGAGGGGAGGTTGGTTGAAAAACACTTTACTCTTGCCAAAAAAAAATAAAAAATACAGGAAGCAAAAAAAAAAAAAAAAAATCTAAATGCTATT